TAAAACTCTAATTAACCCAATTAAAAAATGGGGTACTGAACTGAACAGAGAATTCTCAACAGAAGAAGTTCAAATGGCCAAAAGACACTTAAGGTCATGCTCAACCTCCTTAGCAATCAGGGAAATGCAAATCAAAACAACTTTGAGATACCATCTTACACCTATCAGAATGGCTAAAATCAAAAACACCAATGATAGCTTATGCTGGAGAGGTTGTGGAGTAAAGGGAACACTCATCCATTGTTGGTGGGAATGCAAACTTGTGCAACCACTTTGGAAATCAATGTGGCAGTATCTCAGGAAACTGGGAGTCAACCTACCTCAGGATCCAGCAATTCCACTCCTGGGAATATACTCAAGAGATGCCTAATCATACTACAAAAGCATTTGTTCAACTATGTTCATAGCAGCACTATTTGTAATAGCCAGAACCTGGAAACAACCTAGGTGCCCCTCAACACAAGAATGGATAAAGAAGGTGTGGCACATATATATTTTATAGTTCTACTCAGCTGTAAAAAACAATGATATCTTGAATTTTGCATGCAAATGTTTCGAAATAGAAAACACTTTACTGAGTGAGATAACCCAGACCCAAAAATAGGAATATAGTATGTACTCACTCATAAGCAGATTCTAGCCATAAACAAAGGACATTGAGCCTATAGTTCATGCTCCTAGAGAAGCTAAATAAGAAGGTGAACCCAAAGAAAAAACATATAGTTATCCTCCTGGATATTGGAAGTTGACAAGATCGCCAGACAAAAGTTGGGAACAGGGGGGTGGGGTTGATTGGGGGGAAGGGGAGATGGGGAGAAAGAAGTGAGAAGAGGAGGATTGGGGAGAGCTTGGGGGAATGGGATGATAGAGATGGAGGAAGGGTGAATATGGGAGCAGGGAAGGAGATATCTTAATTAAGGGAGCCATTTGGGGATTGGCAAGAGACTTGGCTCTAGAGGGGTTCCTAGTTATCTCAGGAGATGGCCCCAGCTAGGTCCTTGGGCAGAAGAGGAGAGGGTGGCTGAACTGGCCTTCTCCCATAGCCATTGTGATAAATATCTTGCATACCACCATAGAACCTTCATCTGGTGATGGGTGGAGATAGAGACAGAGACCCACATTGGAGCACTGGACTGAGCTCCCAAGGTCAAATGAGGAGCAGAAGGAGGGAGAACATGACCAAGGAAGTCAAAACTGTGGGGGGGTGCATCCACCCACAGAGACAGTGGGACTGATCTAATGGGAGCTTACCAAGGCCAGCTGGACTGGGACTGATAGAGCATGTCATCAAACCAGACTCTCTGAATGTGGCTGACAATGAGGGCTGACTGAGAAGCCAATGATAATGGCACTGGGTTTTGATTCTACTGCATGGACTGGCTTTGTGGGAGCCTAGTCTGTTTGGATGTACACCTTCCTAGACCTGGATGGGCGGGGGCTTGGACTTCTCACAAGGCAGGGCACCCTGACTTCTCTTAGGACTGGAGGGCAAGGGGGAAGGGGAGTCGAGGGAGTGGGAGTGGCGGAAGGGAGAGTGGGGGAAGGGGAAGGTGGAGAGGAAGGGAAAAGGGTGGATGGGAGGAGGTGGAAATATTAAATAAATAAATAAATAAATAAATAATAAAAAAGATTTTGATGAACTTTTAAGTTGCTAAATAAGCATATATTTTGCCTCGATTCATTTTCATTTTTCCCTCCTTTTCTCTTCCCCACCCCCTCTCCCTTCTTCCTTTTCTCCTTTCTTTTTGTCAATTTATCTCTTTTCTGATTGGATTGCCACATGACCCAGATTGGATTAACTTTCTTATACAGCTCAGTCATAAAACCCATGATTTTACCTGCCTCAGCTTCTCATCTTGCAAGATTATAGGCATTATATTATATCAGTATTAATTATATCAGTATATTAATAAGTATTATATCAGACCAGCATCCCTCTTCTCATAGCAGAATTGAGGATGATCTCTGTCCTTTGTACTTCTGGATTACTTAGAATATATTACATAACAATACATTTGCAGCCAACAAGTCTTGTTCATTTTATATGCTTATTCTGGATTCTGAGTTTCCTCGTAGTAGAGATATGCTGTAGTCATATTTGTATAGGATGCATTTTCTAGTAATCAACAGTTTTAGAAACTAGAAAAGATTTGGATAGAAAACTGTAGGGATTAGAGTGATGTCTGTATCAGTAAAATGCATGTAGTATAAGCATGAGGACTCAAGCTTGATCTGTGAAATTCATGAAAAAAAGCTGGCTGTCATGGTGTGAACTTGTAATCCCAGCCCTTGTGAGACAGAGATATGAGGATCTATGAAACTCACTAGTCACCCAGTCCATCATACTACTCACTGAGTTCCAGGTTAATGAAAGATCCATCTCAAAACAACAACAGTAAAACAGGGGGATAGTATCTGAACAAAGACAGCAGATGTTGGCCTTTGTCCTTCATGTGTGATGGAGGAGGGTCATCTGTCTATGTGTTACTTTCATTGGTTAATAAAGAAACTGCCTTGGCTTTTTGATAGGGTAGGATTTAGATAAGTGGAGTAGACAGAACAGAATGCTGGGAAGAAGGGAAGTGAGGCAGACGCCATGATTCTTAGACCCGTGACAGATGTAGGCTAGAATCTTTCCCGGTAAGCCACCACCTCGTGGTGCTACACACATTATTAGAAATGGGTTAATCAAGATGTGAGAATTGGCCAATAAGAGGCTAGAACTAATGGGCCAGGCAGTGTTTAAATGAATACAGTTTGTGTGTTGTTATTTTGGGTGTAAAGCTAGCTGTGCTGGAGCCAGGCAGGACAAAACACAGGCCTGCTCACCTCATCACTACACATGTGCATGTGCACATGTGTATATGCACCCTCATATCTACGTACCCAGGCAGACATGAGCACACCTCCTCACATTCACACAGAAAATCTGTGGTATCTTTTTTCTTAGAATGTATATCCTATAATTGTTAATTTGACAAATTAATTCCTAGTTAAATACTACAAAAGACATACATGAAGTATAAAACATAAAGATGGCCACCCATTTATCCATTTAATAAATTATTGAGCTGTCAGCAAAACACCATTCTTAACACTTAGGACATATCAAAACTTGTGCAAAATCATGCTATCATAGCACTTACAGTCTATCAACTGATGAAAATCAAATGCAAACTCAGAGGCTTAGGATGTATGTTGGGGGTAGAGCTTCTTTCAGCATTCTCAAGGTCCTGGGTTCAATCTCTAACCAAATATTAAAAGAGGAGTAAATTATATTTCCCACTCCTACCTGATCTTCTACTAGAATTCTGAGATATTTCAGTCAATATTTAAGTTCTTAGATTGCAAATCTGTTTGATGAGAAAGAACAAAGCATTATCAAAATATTTGGGGGGATAAATTTGAGATAGTTAGGCCCATGAGAAGAAATTGTTCAGTTACGAGCTGCACATTACCTCAATGAGAAATTTGACTATAAGACTGAAGAAAAGAGATTAACACAGTGAGGCATCTAAAAGATGTGAAAAGGAAAGGGGAGGTGATCTATTCTAGAACTAAATATAATACAGCAGGCTCATATTGGTCACATTCATAAAGACATCTTGTGTGATTTTGACATCCCTTAACACTGTCAGCCTTTTCTACTTCTCCTTTTTCTCCCAAACAAGTGAGATGTAAGAACTAGGTTTGCTTAAGAGTTTTCAATATCTGTAGTCAGCCCAGAAAAGTAATTCCATTTGCACTTTCTAATCTTTAAAGCAAAGAGATAGTCTGGGTATATGTGAAAGATAATGACTTTGAAAGTGGATATGGGATGTAATGGGGAATTTCAATTATTTTCCATTTAAATAAATCGGGATAGTGTTGTGTGGCATGAAAGAACATAAATTTGGAATCACGCAAAACTAAGAAGGATTCCTGGTTCTACTTATGTGTGATCCTCAGCTGACTGCAGAGTCTCAGTTTACTTCATTCCTTCTTTCCTTTCTTGCCTTCTTCCCCCCTTTACTTCTTCCCTCCTTCTTTGAAAAGGGATAATATTTAGAGCGACTACATTTAGTTAGGGAACATCTCTTTATTGTCTTATATCATTGTGAAATAAATTAAAAATTTCAAAGTAATATAGCATATTCCTTTTAAGTCTAGAAAACTACAAATATAGCTTGCCTTTCTCTTAAAAGAAATGAAAAATAAATGCCTTTACAAAAGCATTATAAAGTATTAATTAAAAATGAATCATTTCTTGTCATCAGAGATATGGCTACTGGCAATAGTTAGTCAACAAACTTTCCCATTACGACAGAACAACTGTGCCCCTAGGCTTGACAATTAATAAAAAGGAAATTTCCATGTGGAAAGCCTTCTAATACATGAAACTCATATTGTGAAGCACTCAGATGTCCCACCTCCCAACTGTCCATTTGTATTGAGGGTTAATAGTACAACTGATGAAAATTACATATGCTAGAACAACTTTATCTTCCCCAGACCTACCAGAAATGAAAACATCCCTGCACTGGAGTGAGCAGACTCAAAATTCTTGCCCTTCACTGGCCTCAGAGAAAGTGCAGTCCTAGGAGAATGACAAGCTGTTTCAAATCTCCAGCCTTAGGTGGGGTCAAAGGAAAGAACCCCATGTGATTATTCTGAAATACGGAAGGAGGGGTGTGTATGATAAGACTAGCATTTTGGGAAAATACAGAGAAGAAGAGAAGAAACTAACAGCCACCAGAATTTCTAGTCTCTTCAGCAGCAGGAGGATGGAAGAAAGAACTGAGGTGGCTTCACATAAGACGGAGATCTTGTTGGTCCTGCTGATCCTGGGCCACCTAATAGTGCTCACCTACGGTAAGGTAGCACACTGATGCCTGACTACCACTTCTACCTCAGGCAGAGGATGTGGGTGTTGATGTTGAGTGTTTATTGAGAAAAGCTTGTTTTTAAATGGTCAGTAATAGTTATATGCAATTCTGTAAGCTTTCTGAACTTGGGCAGAAGGAAAGGAAGTCGTTGAAATCTAGTAAAAGTTCCAGAAGCTGCCTTGGATAGAAATTGAAACAGTTCTTCGCTTGGAAAATATTTGCATGATTTTCCAGTATTTCAGGTATGTCAGAAGACTTCAAGGTCACCCAAACCTCCTATATTCTCCTTTTTCCTTGAAAATCTACAATAATGATTGACTTCTCATTTCCATGCTTTGATTCTTGCCACAACATACCATCACCAGTGAATAGATATTTAATAAGTAAGTGTGATGTAAGTGTGACCTTTGAAGTAACCTGTAGCCAGGCATGGTGGGGCACACATTTAATCCCAGCACTTGGAAGGCAGAGGAACTCTGATTGATCTCAGTGAGTTCAAGGACACATTGGTCTATATAGAAAACTTTGAGTTGTCTTGGGTTACATGGTGAAACTCAGTAATATGCACCATCAAATAGAATGGTTTACAGGTGCTTAACATTTGCTGTTCATACACTTTAGAACACAGCCATTTGCTGCTCTCCACCAGGCTATATCCAGGCGCATGCCCAAATAGTACTTGTGTTGTGCTAAATCCCCTTCTCTGTTGTTTCTATCCAAGAGCTTCTCACTATCAACCCAGAATACACATGATTCCTTTTCCCATGCCAGCACTTCAAATGTCTGAGGAGAGGAAGAAACTGTGCCCCCTTAACTCTCCTCTTCTCCAAGCTAAATATCTCTAGCTTCTTCAGCTTGGTACATTACTAGCTGCTGAGATAACTCACTTCCTTATGGACCCAGTAACCCAGTTATAGGGACTGTTTGTTGGAACTAATTCTAGATACACAGCCCAGAAGAGGTTGGGCTATCTCATAGGGGCATTTCTGTGAATCTTCCTCCACACTCATTTACAACTCAAGGAAATGAAGTGCCTTTCAGGAAACTAAGTACAAGTAAGAACTAAGTAAGTTTCAGTATAGGGTAAAGGGATTCTTGCTGAAGTTTTGCTTGTTTCGTCTTCCTAGAAGACAAGACTAGCTAGATCAATCATAATTTGAAGTATCTAGCAATACCAAATTTTTGCTGTTCTTTTTTTAACCAAAGTTGACCTATCTAATGGCTAAAATATGACATGAATGTTCTGAGAGTTCCTGGTGAGGGAAAAGACCTTAGACTCAACTTCCTTGTCCCCATTATTAGAAACTCTGGTCCTTACAGTGCATCCAGGAAGATGGACAGCATAACCTCACTCTGTTCACAAGGCATCGTATTCTACCTGCTTACCTGAAGTATGTGCTAAATGAAAAAGATTTATTCAGTAATACCTTGCATGTTGAAACTACATCTACCAGGAAAGACATTGCCTAAATACAATTTCTGGCCCCAGTTGAATAAAATGCAAAAGGATTGCGATATGAGCTTATATATGAAAAATTCTAACAAAACACAATGAGTCCCTGTCTTTTCTTGCCTCTGGGCTCCTCTCCCCTGCCCATCAAGTGCAATTTCCTTTGGTTCTACCACAATAACTAGCCCATCCAGCTCTGGAGATTTATTCGGGTTCTTTTCTTTTCCAGGCCAAGCGTGGATTAAACCCTTTCCCCCCTCCGAATGTAACTTTCTAATGTTTTTTATAAGAACTAAAAGGAAAAAAAAAAGAGAAATAAGGACCAAAAAATCAGCTAGGTTTACTTGCAAAGTACAAGGTTCAAAGCTCATAGCTAATGGTTTGGTCTGGCAGGAAAATTCATCCGGGCCTTTTGCTTCACCTTTCAGTTCCCTTATCGATCATCTCTGTCATCCTTCCAGAAGAGAACGTGAGTTTGTGTCCCCATCACTGAGCCTTTTCTCTTGAGTGAACAAAAGGTGGTAATAGAGCAGAGGGCTGTTTCAACCATGAATCTACACACACACACACACACACACACAAAAACTACTTCCGTTTCAACTATTTGCCATTCTTTTTCCCGCATCTCATTTGAAAATAGTGAAAGAAAAACTATGGGCATGTAAAATATCATAGAATCCCTAAAGATTGGTCTATCCTAACTCTCCATATTCTGTTTGGGAAAAATAAATGTCACCTCCTAGCAAGACCTGAAACCACTCTAGCTAAAGAATGTTAAGGACTTCATCCCACACACTGACTCGGATTGATGAGAAAGCTATCAGCAGAGGCCAGGGATAACCAAAGAATGAGTGAAGGGAAAGTGCTTTTTAGAAAGGTATTGAGCCCATCACTCGCCCTCACTCAGGTGAGCATGTCAACTGTTGCTTGCTCATTTTACTTTCTTCCCTGTCTTTAGGCCAACCCATCCTAAGAGCGCCAAAGAATGTGACAGGGACCCGGAATGGGGACGTGACATTACAGTGTGTCTATACTCCCATGAGAGGCTACAGTCAAGAGTCTGTGAAATGGCTGGTACGACATGGCTCTGATCCAGTCACCATCTTCCTACGTGACTCCTCGGGAGACCATATCCAACGGGCCAAATACAGAGGCCGCCTGAAAGTGAGCCAGAAACTTCCAGGGGATGTGTCTCTCCAACTGAATTCCCTTCAGATGGATGACAGGAGTCACTACACATGTGAGGTCACCTGGCAGAGCCCAGAGGGAACCCAAGTGATGAGAGATGAGATTATAGAGCTCCGTGTCCAGAAATGTAAGTCACTGTGAGAGCGAAATGCATTGGTAAACAAAGACACGATAGAGTACTGTAATCCTAGACACCTCTGAGAAATTGAGAGGCCTTGGTCTCTAATCCTATGTGCTAATCACAAGATCCTCGAAGTCATCACCCCATTCAAGAATTTAAATAGTGCTGGGAAATAAATACAAATGCATCACTTTCAAAAAAGCTCTTCGTGGGCTGGAGAGATGGCTCAGAGGTTAAGAGCACTGATTGCTCTTCCAGAGGTCCTGAGTTCAATTCCCAGCAACCACATGGTGGCTCACAGCCATCTGTAATGAGATCTGGTGCCCTCTTCTTGCCAGCAAGCACACAGACAAACAGAACACTGTATACATAATAAATAAATAAATCTTTTTTTTTTAAAAAAAAAAAAAAAGCTCTCCTTCTGCCACGCCATCACTCCTAGATTCGCCAAAGGCTTTCTGAGAGACCTGGTCCCCCACTAGCTGTGCTTCCCAGTTTACCACAAGGTTTTAGAAACTGAAATCTGCATTGTCCTCTACATAACAAAATTCCAAACTCTATCCATTCACATCTAACCACATTAAATTCTCTGCAGCAATAGACTTGCCGGCATTCCTTCCTCCTTCTTTTAGCCACTTTGACTTGGGTTTTCTACAGTTTGTCTGAGTGATTCTGCTGAGATTATTTGCTGGCTCTTCTGTTCATTACATTAAGTGTTCTTGAAGTTTAGATTATTGTTAGTGTACAGCTACAGTAGAGGGCTTTATTTTCTTCGCTCAACTTGAATATTTTCATTTCTAATCTGCCAGTCTACAGCTTGTCTCTCTTCAGTCTTTTAATATTTCTTTTCCAGTAAAGATATTTTTTAGTTGGATGTAGTATCATGGTAATTTAATGTTTTTTTTATTCCTCTCTGTGTTTTAGAGGTTGTAACCAGAAAATCATTGCCTCTACTCAGATCTTTTTTTTTTTTTAATGCTGAATCCTAATAGATTCAGAGTTCCCAATCTCACATTGCTGTCTTTAATCCACTTTGGTTGATTTTTGCACAGGACAGTAGAGGTCAGGTTTCAATCTTGATGATGCCCACTTTTCCCAGCACCAGTTATTGAAAAGGCTACCGTTTCTCTGGTGTGATTTTGTACATTTACAAGAAATTAGTTGCTTTCAGACATATTTGTTTATTTCTGGAATGTGTACACTGTTTTACTGGCCTATGTATCTTTGTATAGTAATATTGTACTGGTTTGGCTAATTATACTTCTGTGATATGTCCCCAAATCAGGAATTGTAATGACTTCAGTCTTCTTTGAGAACTGTCTATCCACATACTTTAGTCATTTCAAAATTGCATTTGCCTAATTATTCTTGAGTTATGAGCGTAATTTCTTTATTTGGATTATTAAAGTCTTTTAAAATGATTTTTACCATAATAATTATTATTGTTGTTTATATCCCAATTGCATTTTACCCTCCCTCCTCTTCCTCCAGTCCCTCTCTCCACTTCCCCTTTATGCTCTCCTCCCCAATCCATTCCCCCTCATTTCTATTCAGAAAAGGGCAGGCTTCCTATGGATATCAACCAAGCACAACATAACAAGTTGCAATAAGACTAGGCACTTCCCCTCGTATTAAGGCTGCACTAATGCAACCCAAAATAATGAATAGTGTCCAAAAATCCAGCAAAAGAGTCAAACACAGCCCTTGATTCCACTGTTAGGAGTCCTACATACAGAGGGCCTAGATCAGTCCCACATGGGCACCCTGTCTCTGTGAGTCACATGAGCCCAGGTTAGTTGATTCTATGGGTTTTCTTGTGATGCCCTTGCCCATCTGTCTCATACAATCCTTCTTCCCTTTTTCACAGAATTGCCTGACCTCTGCCTAATATTTGACTGTGACTCTTTGCATCTGTTTCCATCAGTTGCTAGGTGAAGCCTCTATGATGATTATTGGGCTAGGCACCAATCTAGGAGTATAGCAATATATTATTAGGAATCATTTCATTAGCTTTTTTTTCCAGTCATGTCTGGTTCTACCCTAAGTCTCTAGGTTATCCAACCTCTGAGTCCTGGTACTCCATACAATGTCGGGGATGGGTTCCCTCTCAGGGCCGGACCAGATAGTGGTTGGTCACTCTCACAATTTCTTTGCCACATTTACCCCAGCACATCTTGTAGCCAGGGTAAATTGTAAGTTGAAGGTTATTTGGTTGGGTTAGTCTTATGAAATACATTATTCACAAGTATTCTCCCACTTCTTCATGTTGTCTCTTACAGTTCTTGAGATGTAGTTATATGCAAGTGTTTTGCCTGCATGTATATTCATGCACCATATAGGTGTATGGTTCCTGTAGAATTCAGAAGAGGGATCAGATGCTCTAGAAACTGGAGTTGTAGATGGTTTAAGGTATCATGTGGGTGCTGAGAACCAAACCCAGGTCCTTTGCAAGAGCAGCCAATGCTCTTAATTGTTAAACCATTTCTGCAGCCCAACATGTTGCCTTTTTACTTTCATGATGGTAACATTCAAGGCTCCAAAGTTTTTTTTGTTGAAGTCTAAGCCTATTTTATCTTAATATTTGTGTTTTTGTAGCATATCCCACCAGACCCAATATTCCTTAAGTTTCTTAAGATCTGAGTGGAAAAGAACAGGGGGGGTGGATGGAATGGCCCAGATGGGGAAAAGACAGAGAGAAAGAGCAAGAAAGAGATATCTTGATTGAGGGAGTCATTGTGGGCCTAGTGAGAAACCTTGCACTAAGGAAATTCCCAGGAATCTCCAAGAATTAGCCCCAGCTAAGACCCTAAACAATGGTGGAGAGGATGCCTGAACTGGCCTTCTCCTGTAATCAGATTGACTACTTACCTTAATTTTAATCATAGAACCTTCATCCAGCAAATTATAGAAGCATATACAGAGAACCACAGGGGAGTATTGGGCTGAGCTCCCAAAGTTTAGTGGAAGAGTAGGAGGAATGAGAATATGAGAAAAGGGGTCAAGACCATGATGGAACACCCACTTAAACAGCTTACCTCAGCTAATGGGAGCCCACCAACTCTGGCCTGACAATCAGGGAACTAGCATAGGACCAAACAAGGCCCTCTGAATGTGTTTGACAGTTGCATGGCTGGGGCAGACTGGGGGCCACTGGCAGTGACACAGGGGTTTATCCCTACTGCCTGTACTGGCTTTTTGGGATCCTATTCTCTTTGGGTGGATACCTTGCTCAGCCTAGATATAGTAAGGAGGGCCTTGGACCTTCCCCAAAGCAATCTGCCTTACCCTCTCTGAGGAGTGTATGGGGAGTGGGGGGAGTGGGAGGAGGGGAGGGAGTAGGAATTGTGATTAGAATGTAAAATGAGAAAAGATTGTTTTTAAAATAAAAAAGTAAATAGATTAAATTAATAAAATTTTTAAAAGATCTGGTAGAACTGAATAGTGAAGCCACTTTAGCTTGATTTTTCCTTTCTTAGTAGTTCTTTAACTAGCAATCCAGTATTTTTTTTACTTGTTTAAATTCCATAATTTCAAGTTTCCTGATTCATCTTTTGAAGTTAACATTTACTTTTTAATATTTGTTTATTATTTTAAGTATATGATGGTTTTATCTGCAAGCATGTGTATATTAGTTACTTTTCTATTTCAGTGATAAAATCTTATAACCAACATATAAAGGAGACCAGAGCAAAGACATGATTGCAGGAACAATTAGAGCTTACATCTTGATCTGAAAACAAGAGGCTGCAAGAAGGAGAACAGTAGAACTGGCACAAATCTTTTGAAACTTCATAGCCCACCCCTAGTGACACATTTCCTGCAGTAAGGACACACCTGCTAATCCTTCCAAAACTGTTGCACCAACTACGAACCACAGTTTCAAATATATGAGCCTATAGGGGCCATTTCCATTCAAACCATCATAATGTGTATGTACAGAGTACCTGCCTGGCGCCTGTGAAGGTCAGAAAGACACATAGTTTCTCTGGAACTTGAGCTATATACAGAAATGAGTGGCTATGTCAGGGCTGGGGACCATCCCCATGTCTTCTGCAGGAGCAAAAAGAACTCTTAACCACTGAGCCAACACTCCAGGCCCTACTCCTCATTTTATTTTATCCAGTTAGAGAACATGTTTATTATTTCAGATATTTTTAAAATTTACTAAGATTTGTTTTATACACAACATATGGTCTGTTTCCAATAATGCTGCAGGTATACTTAATAATAGTATCTACTTTGCTATTATTATATGAAGTGTTCTATATATGTCACTGCTGGTTAACAATGTTGTTCAACCCTTGAATCTCCTTAATCTTCTTTCTAGTTATTAAACAGATCATTTAAAGTGGGATGTTGAATTCAAATTATGATTGGTAAACTAACCATTTCTCTCCCCAATTCTTCTAAATTTTCTTCATGAATTTTGGAGGCTCTAGTATTATCAGTATATATTTATTAATGAACTTTATCCTTCACCAAAAATAATGTTATGATTATAAGTTGTTGTTCTTTGTACCTAGTAAAATTTTTTCTCAAATATAATTTGCCTTATATCAGTATAGTCATTCTACTTATATGTTGGCTAATGACTGTATGGTACATCTTTTAACATTATTTTACTTTAAAACCTTGTTTTGCCTTTGAGTACTAAGCAAGGATATCATATAGTTAGATATGATAATCTGAGACTCTCTGCCTTTAAATCTGAATTCTTCTACTTCTATTTAATCTAAGTATTAATAAAGTAAGATTTATCTCTGCCAATTTTCTATTTGTAGTCTTTATACTTATTGCTATATTCCTTCATCGCTTCTACCTTTGATGCCTGATAGATAATTTCTAGCATATTATATAGTTCGATTCTTGTTTAGTTTACTGTGATGGCTATTTTTATGTCAACTTCGTAGAAACTAGACTCATTTTGTATGAGGGAACCTCAACTGAGAAAATGTCTCCAATAGACTGGCCTGTGAGCAAGCCTGTGGTGTATTTTCTTGGCTAATGATTGATGTGAGAAGACCCAACTCACCACAAGCAGTACCACCCACTGAGTGGTCCTGGGTGCTAGAAGAAAGCAGGCTGAGTTAACCATGGGGAAAAATCCAATAAGCAACATTCCTCCATGGCTTCTGCTTGTGAAGTTCCTGACTCTAATTTCCTACCATGAATCCCTGCCATGACTAAGTGATAGAACATGACCAGAAGCTTGTAAGAAGAAATAAACTCTTACCTTCTCCAGTTGCTTTGGGTTATTGTGCTTTATCACAGCCAAAGGAATCTTAACTAAGACATTTACTAAGTATTTTCATTATTTCTGTTTGTGGGATATCAACAATTCCTAATTTATTGCATTTATTCCAATTTAATTTCATAATATTTGTATACAGCTCAATTTCTTATCATTTAGTTCTATCATTACCGCAAATTGCATCTTAGTATATTATAATTGTATGAGTATTGATATAGTATTATTGTTTTGTAGGGATAAATAGATAGCTCAGCTATTAAAAGCTAGGCTTACAATCAAAATAATATTGTTTTGTAAAGTGATTTTTTAAGTCAGATTGGAAAATATGTTTACACTCAGTATTCACCAATAGAGGTACTTCTCCTGGTGCCTTTTAATTTCTTCATATTAGTTTTGGATATGATTCACTGTCCCTTCATTTTACCTTAAACAATGCCTTTTGACAATTCTTTTGGTCCTATCTTCTAGAGAGTATTCTCACAGTCATTGTTTATCCGGGAAATGTCATGATTTCTGCCTCATTTTTATTTGGAGGTTATTTATGTTTTAGATGGGGGTTTCCTTTGCTACCCAAACTTAATTTACACTTGCAGATCACATTCTCACTCTACTTATTTGTTTGTTTGTTTCTTTGTTTTTTAGGACTTTTGTTGGTGATTTTAAAATACTAATTTTGTATAGTCTTGTATATTCATGGTCATGAGATAACCATTGAGTTCACTATTTGATTATCTCAGAAGTCAGTAATAACTGGATAGAGATTTTCTTAAGAGTCAGGAGAAAATAAACCACGTATTATTTGCCAGAGAACTTTGTTGCTGGTTTAACGATGATATCAATGTGTATCCAGTTTATAATTATAGTATATTGTTTATTTGCTGTTAATATGAAACCTCAAGGTTAATCATAAGTGTGATCTTATACTTTTCTTATATTTTTTTCTGGATGTGCACAAGACTTTAAGAAAGGATATGCTATCTTTGACTCTGGGAAGTTGCCAAACTTTTCACACTTTCTGGAGATATCTCATTTTTGAGCATTTCCTTTTAGTCTTGATTATTCCATTCTTTCTCCAAACTGTTATCCATTGCTTTATGCTCTGTGCGACAAATTTTCTCCTAGCCATATAGAGAGACTTTTAGTGCAGATGCTAAATAAAACAAGCATTGGGAGTTATGGCTTTTAAAGAAATCATTAGAAAGGTCAAATAAAGATAGTATTTCTGGAATGAACTTCTTACTTTTGTACCTGGAGTAGGGTATTAATTTTTATTACCTCTGAGGAAAGCTGAAATGCCACAAAGCTTCATTTTATTACTAAAACTGGGCTGTTTTTCTTCCATAAGCACTATAAGTTCCTACGAACCAATGTCCCAAATTCTGGGAAAAAATGACAATACCAAAATATTTCAGTTATGCCTTTATTTCTGTGAGGGGCAAGTTTTAGAAGTCATTACTTTGACATTTTCATTGAAGTCACCAACTAACACCTTCTTTGTTGTTCTTTGGAATTCTTCCTCAAGAATGACTCATTATATTTTAGTCAAAATTAGTGATTACTAGAATATATTCCCTCAGCCTAGTCTTCACACCATCTCAACTCTAGATATAGGTTCACTGACGTCTTTGAACCCTGCCTTATGACCACTACCTTAGAGTGATGTGTGAGGATTAAAGAACAGGCAATAGAAGTTACCAGCATCATGATGGAAGGGTTGAGAGGTACAACCTAATTCCTAATTTTAATAGTATCATTTTAATAGTATCTTCAATTGTTTATCTAAAGGAACCAGATCCCTGAACCTCACTCCTTTTTTCCCTTGCAGACCCCTCTAATCCAACTATAATCAATGTTGAAGCACTTACAACCATGCAATCCCCCTTGGAAGGTAAGTTTTACTAGAGCTTTGTTACTGAATTCTTGAAACACATTTGGAAACCAAGGAGATGCAATTCCACTGACTTTGGGCAAAGAAATCACTGTGTTACTCAAAGAGATCATGGCAATAAATTAATGAATACAAAAGAAATGTAGCAAATATTTAAGGGTAGTACAGAAGCTGAATCATGAATATACACTTTTCTTTGTGAAAACAAGCTAAAAGAAAGCAACGTATCACATTTTTCCTAATCTGATTTACTATGTGACTTTGAGCATTCTACTTCTTTGTGTATCTTCTTCCACTGGAAAGCCTTTATAGCAAAAATCTGAGAGGTTTCACTTTGTAGTACAATATAGACTAATAATATGGCTTGCTGCAGGATATTTGATTGCACTGTGAAACCACAAGACTGTATTAATAAACTCACCCTTAGATCAGGAAGCAGACCCAGTGACTAGTTGACAAGAATTAGCCATAGAGAGTGCAGAGGATGCAGGAATATGGATAGAGAGATGCACAGGAAGGAGTAGGGAGGGACTTAGGGATTCATGATCTTTTTATTTTAGGACAAATAGAGAAACTCTCTTGCTGAGTCTCTTGTCAAAAGGAAGGTCAGCTGGTTGCTTCTCAGCACCTCTGAGTTGTCAGGTTTTCACCCAAACGTCTGACTCCCAAATCTTTATTGATAGATAGAGCAAGAGACACTTAGTTAAAAACTACATTGGCAGCTACAACAGAGCCAGTGCTGATGGGACCAGAAATCCCGCCAGGTCATGAATGATCTATCTGAGCAGCAGAATGCTCAATGCAGGGCAACAGAGCTGCAGATGGTAGTAAAATTATCAGTAGAGTTAGGTGTAGCCACTAAGCCAATGGAAAAACAATGACTAGACACCTTGGAAGCCCAGAAGAGATCTCCAGCAAAGACATCAAGCCTTTTCTGCCATCAACGACCCTCACATCTCTTCAGTGCGAGATAGGCCTCTGACCTGGATTCTCTGTTCTCATAGCAACAACTACAGTGAAGTCAACCTGTGACTGGACCACTAAGGAGAATGGAAAATTTAAGGAGACCACTGTTGGCCCAGTGGATGAAAAACATGAGAGGACCACTGCTGGCCCAGGGAATGAAAACCATAAGGAGACCACTGTTGGCTCAGTGAATGGAAAACATGAGAGGACCACTGCTGGCCTGGGGAATGAAAACAATAAGGACATCATTGATGGCCCAGGTAAAAGCAATATTTTATGCTATCTTTCTTCTTTGACTCTAAACTGTGTGTTACATTATAAGTTTCCTATGTGGAATTCAACTCCACAAACCCAGGAAGAGCCCAGGAACTAAATTGGATACTTATGATAGAAATGGAAAGATAATGATACAAGAATAAAGAGTGAGGTTGTGGTTAAAGAAATGGATAAATGTGTTCTTAGTTTGTTTTCTATTGCAGCAGCAATATACTTCTCAAAGACTGGGCGCGATGGGTGGAAAGTAGGATTAGGAACATGAACTCAGCCATCTACCCTAAGGAGACAGGAAGTGGAATAGGTAAAGATCAAGGCAGTCCTCCACTACTTTCATTCTTGACTAAGGGCTTTTTGTAGCAGATCAGAGTTGATTTTTATTCACCAAAAATCTCAAAGATCCCCAAATCAGGAACTCAAGGACTAAAATCTCAAAGAGAAAATAGCTTGTATTAGTTCATCTCAAACTTCTAGTCAGCTAATATGCACTGATATGCCTAAATCAATTCTTAAAATAATGAATTTCTTTCACATTAATAGTTGACTCGTGACTCTCAAACTATGAGATCCCCATTTTCTTTTTCTTTTTTTTTTTGTTAAATTCTGTTTGAGATTAAAGGATCCCAACAATCAGTTACACAGTATTTCAGTAAATAACTACACAGTACCTATAGACATAGGCACATTTTATAGGTATAGGTTATATAATGTTAATTCACCAGAACAATCTCCAGAAATTCTGTAAACCTAGAGTTACATCAGGCATTTCTCTGACTATACTAGCATAAAACTAAAACTCAATAAAAAAAGGAACATTGGAAATTATACAAATAAATGAATGCTAAACTTTCTTCTCAGTAATGAATGCATGAAATGTCAAATTTTAGAAAATTTCAGCAATGAAAATGAAAGCAACTACAGCAAAGTTTATCAGAAGTAACAAAACATCAACAACAAAACTAAGATGCTGCTTTAGAAGGGCTTTGTTTTAGTTGCTTTTCTACTGCTGTGACAAAACACCATAAACAATATAGCATATAACAAAGAATTTAACTTTGTGTTCAGAGTTCCAGTGTTTGTCCACATTGGCATCATTGTAGCCAGACAAGCATGGCCAAACAAGCATGATTGTGAAGCAGGAGTTTAGAATCAGCATCCTTTATGGGCAAGTAGGATGAAGAGAGAGCTAACTGGTTATGTTGTGTAGTTTTTACATCAGAAAGCCCACCTACAGTGACACACTACTTCCAAAAAGGCTATACCTCCTAGTACTACCCAAACCACTGAATGGAGACCAAGGATTCAAACATGTAAATGTATGAGGCCCATTTTCATTTAAACCACCTCAGACCTATATTGGAAAAAGACAGATTTAAGATAAACAAACTAGTCCCTCTGGATGTGGTTGACAGGTGTAGAGCTGGGGCAGACTGAGGGGCCACTGACAATGGCACCAGGATTATCTAGTGTAGACTAAAGGATTCCAACAATCATTTACACCATACTCTACTGCATGTACTGGCTTTTGGGATCATATTCTCTTTGGATATATACCTTGCTCAGCCTAGATGTAGTAGGGAGAGACGTGAACCTTCCTCAAAGCAATGTGCCTTACCCTCTATTAGGATTAGATGGGGGTGGGATGAGACAGTGCGGGGAAGGGAGTGGGAATTTGGATTGGTATTTTTTAAAAAAATCAAATATTTTAAAAAAAAAAAGATTAAACAAATAATTATTAAAAATAAAAAATTAAGAAAAACCTCAAGTAAAAACTGGAGGAAGAAGGAAATAATAAACATTGGACCATAAAAGAATGAGGGAAGATATTATGTTATCAAAAAACAATAATGAACTGAACAGAAGCAAAACTGGCAATCTTGCAATATAAGACAAAGGATTCCAAAGGAATAAACTGTAGCAACAAGAAGAAGCAGTCAGAAGAGACACAATGTAAGCAAAGACTCCTTAAGTATTTTTCTTTTTTTTTAATTGAGAAAAGGAGTAAAAAAAAAAAACAAGTTTCCAACTCCTCCCAGCTTCCCATTTCCCTCCCCCTCCTCCCACCATTCACCCCTCCTCCCACCCTTCTCCCACTCCCCCCACTCCTTTCCCCCTCCCTCTCCAGTCCAAAGAGCAGTCAGGGTTCCCTGCCCTGTGGTAACTCCTAGGTCCTCCCCCCTCCGTCCATATCTAGGAAGGTAAACATCCAAACTGGCTAGGCTCCCCCAAAGCCAGCACATTAAGCAGGATCAAAACCCCATGCCATTGTCCTTTGCGTCTCATCAACCCTCATTGTTCGCCATGTTCAGAGAGTCCAGTTTTATCCCATGCTTTTTCAGTCACAGTCCAGCTGGCCTTGGTGAGCTCCCAATAGATCAGCCCCTCTGTCTCAATGGGTGGGTGCACCCCTCGTGGTCCCGACTTCTTTGCTCATGTTCTCCCTCCTTCTGCTCCTCATTGGGACCTTGGGAGCTCAGTCCAATGCTCCAGTGTGGGTCTCTGTCTCTATCTCCATCCATCACCAGATGAAGGTTCTATGATGATATGCAAGATATTCGTCATTATTGCTCTAGGATAGGGTCATTTCAGGTTCCCTATCCTCAGCTGCCCAAGGAACTAACTGGGGACCTCGGCTTGGGCACCTGGGAGCCCCTCTACGGTCAGGTCTCTTGCCAACACTAAAGTGGCTCCCTTAACTAAGAATTGTGGTTCCATGCTCCCCTGTCCAACCTTCATTTATCTCAATCCTCCTGTTTCCCCAAGATCCCCCCTCCTTCCCTTCTAACTTTTCTCTCCCCATCTCCCCTTACCCCCATCCCACCCCACATCCAAGATCCCAATTTTCTCCCCAGCAATTTTGTCTACTTCCCTTAGCCAAGAGGATAACTATATGTTTTTCCTTGTGTTCACCTTCTCACTTGGCTTCTTTAAATTCACCTATTGTAGACTCCGTGACCCTTATTTATGGCTAGAAACCAATTATGAGTGAGTACATCCCATGTTCATCTTTTTGGGTCTGGGATACCTCACTCAGGATAGTGTTTTCTATTTCCATCCATTTGCATGCAAAATTCACGATGTCATTGTTTTTTACCGCAGCGTAGTACTCTAATGTGTATATATTCCATACTTTCTTCATCCATTCTTCCATTGAAGGGCATCTAGGTTGTTTCCAGGTTCTGGCTATTACAAATAATACTGCTATGAACATAGTTGAACAAATGCTTTTGTCATATGATAGGGCATCTCTTGGGTATATTCCCAAGAGTGGTATTGCTGGGTCCAGGGGTAGGTCGATCCCGAATTTCCTGAGAAACCGAAACACCGACTTCCACAGTGGTTGCACAAGATTGCATTCCCACCAGCAATGGATGAGGGTACCCCTTCCTCCACAGCCTCTCCAGCAAAGGCTATCCTTTGTGTTTTTGACTTTAGCCATTCTGACAGGTGTAAGATGATATCTCAAAGTTGTTTTGATTTGCATTTCCCTGATCAATAAGGAAGTTGAGCAAGACCTTAAGTGTCTTTTGGCCATTTGAACTTCTTCTGTTGAGAATTCTCTGTTCAGTTCAGTGCCCCATTTTTTAATTGGGTTAATTAGCATTTTAAAGTCTAGTTTCTTGAGTTCTCTAAATATTTTGGAGATCAGACCTTTGTCTGTTGCGGGGTTGGTGAAGATCTTCTCCCAGTCAGTAGGTTGCCTTTGTGTCTTAGTGACAGTGTCCTTTGCTTTACAGAAGCTTCTCAGTTTTAGTAGGTCCCATTTATTCAATGTTGCCCTTAATGTCTGTGCTTCTGGGGTTATACATAGGAAGCAATCTCCTGTGCCCATCTGTTGTAGGGTATTTCCCACTTTCTCTTCTATCATATTCAGTGTGTTCAGACTGATATTGAGGTCTTTAATCCATTTGGACTTGAGTTTTGTACACGGTGGATAGATATGGGTCTATTTTCATTCTTCTACAGGTTGACATCCAGTTGTGCCAGCACCATTTGTTGAAGTCAGGGATGGTAATGCCTCCAGAAGATCCTTTATTGTATAGGATTGTTTTGGCTATCCTGGGTTTTTTGTTTTTCCATATAAAGTTGATTATTGTCCTCTCCAGATCTGTGAAGAATTTTGATGGGATCTTGATGGGGATTGCATTGAATCTATAAATTGCCTTTGGTAGAATTGCCATTTTTACTATGTTGATCCTCCCAATCCAAGAGCAAGGAAGGTCTTTCCATTTTCTGGTATCCTCTTCAATTTCTTTCTTCAATGCCTTAAAGTTCTTGTCAAATAGATCTTTCACTTCCTTGGTTAGATTTACCCCAAGATATTTTATGCTGTTTGTGGCTATCGTGAATGGTGAAGCTTCTCTGATTTCCCTCTCTGCTTCCATATCCTTTGTGTATAAGAGGGCAACTGATTTTTTGGAGTTGATCTTGTATCCTGCCACATTACTAAAGCTGTTTATCAGCTGTAAAAGTTCTTTGGTGGAGTTTTGGGGGTCGCTTAAGTACACTATCATATCATCTGCGAATAACGAAAGTTTAACTTCTTCCTTTCCAATTCCAATCCCCTTGATCCCATTATGTTGTCTTATTGCTATTGCTAGAACTTCAAGCACTATATTGAAGAGGTATGGCGAGAGTGGACAGCCTTGTCGTGATCCTGATTTTAGTGGGATGGCTTTGAGTTTCTCTCCGTTTAATTTGATGTTAGCTGTCAGCTTGCTGTATATAGCTTTTATTATATTTAGGTATGACCCTTGTATCCCTAATCTCTCCAAGACTTTTAATATAAATGGATGTTGAAAATTGTCGAATGCTTTTTCAGCATCTAATGAAATGATCATATGGTTTTTTCTTTCAGTTTATTTATATGCTGGATTACATTGATAGATTTTCGTATGTTGAACCAGCCCTGCATCTCAGGAATGAAGCCTACTTGATCATAATGGATAATTTTTCGGATGTGTTCTTGGATTCGGTTTGCCAGTAT